TCTCAAAGTGCTACAACAAGGCACGAGCACACGCGGTAAACTTTATGAAAGCGCTGAGCACGGACTTAACCTGGCCATGCAGAAGTCAGGCATCCAGTCTCAGCATGGGCACTTATTCCACAGGAGTGTGTTCCCCTTCCCTGGGACACACTCACCGGAGGTGCTGGCTCTGGTGTAGCCCAGATCCGACACCTGACTTCACAGGAGGGAATTAATTTCATCCTTCGAGGTTTAGCAGGAGCCAGACTTCAAAATCCAAGAGGGAATCAAACATCCCGGGTCTGTTTGGCAGAGCCCTTCCAGAATAAGGAGCCGGGGGGGGGGGGAATGGTTGGGTTTGCCTGGGGCTGTGTCTGCCAGAAACCACAGCCACGGCACCTGGTGGTCACATCAGGGGTGTTGTGTGGCTCCTCCACCAGACCGAGCAACCTGCTGGTGGTGGCAGCATGCGAGTGCTCCCACACCACGCTACCAGCGGGTCACCGCGTGTGAGGTGTCACAGTGTGCCAGGCAGGGCAGGAGGGATATGTGGTGGCTTACTGTTTCTGGTTCCCTTTTCCCTCCAGGAGAACAGCCATTACACAGACGTGGAGGATGCCAGGCTACAGTAACCAGGTACAGCTCACACACGCAGAATCAGAGGCTGATTCTGAGCGAAAGCTTTCGTTCCATGCATGTTGGGGTGGGGACCTGCTGCTTCAGAAGATGCTCCTTTCCACTGATCGGCTGTGTTTTCCTCGCACTGAGCCTGGCTTCTCAGCTGGATCACCACTCAGCCCCTCACTCCCTTCCCTAAATCACGCACCTTTGAGGTTCAAGGGAAACGATGTACCTTTTTTTTCCTCCCCTTCTCTCCTTGCAGCCCATTCACAACAGCAGTGAGCAACAGAGTGAGGAAAGCACGAGCCTAAACCCCGTCCTGGCACGCTGAGCAAGAACAAGCTGAATGGAAGTGCTGCTGTCATCTCTGCCTGGTATTCAAAAGGAGAAACATGGCCTGACATCTTCCACCCATCTGTAAAGCAAAGGCAAAGCCAAACTCATCATCCCAGTGAATCCCCACTACCCCGTGCAACGGATTCGGAGCTCTGCAGGCAGCGGAGGCGGGAGCCAAACCCTGCACAATCCATAACCATCACTGACTGGAGAACGGGAGAGCGGTTACGTCACCAAATGAGTCAGAGATGTTATAGAGCTTTTAGTACGAGAGGAGGGAGAACGAAGCCTAACCCAATAACGGCATTTTTTTCCCCGTGCTGGGTGAGAGCCAGAGCATTTGCTAACTGGGGGAGAAATATTGTCTCGGTTTGGACAATTTGCGTTCTCACGCTAAAGGTCATGTTGAGGAAGCAGGTGTGGGGTGAGCTGTCCTCCCACCACGGTCACCTCCTGTCGTGTGTCTTCTTTTTGCCCCATGAGCTGCCGTGGGTGCACCATCACTTCCAGGCAGAAAGGAGCCAGTGCTGGTGCACGTGCTGTGCTCTTTGCAGCTGCTTGAAGGGAGGGGAGAGGGGAAAGGAACCTGCCTGCAGGAAAGCGAGTGATGCCAAGCAGGAGAAACAAAGCATCCGTCACCTTCAGTGGCTTGGTCTCCTCATTCTCCGCCGGGAAACCACTAGGTAAAGGCTGAGCGCGTCTCTGCAGAGTGAGGGGGTGCGCGCCTGTGCGGATGAGAGCCTTTTCTTGGACCAGCTGCTCCCTGGAAGGGATGTAATCCACCCACTTCTCCAGCCCAGCGCCAGAGACATCGGCCCCTTCCCCAGCCTGCTGACATCTCCTCTCGCTCCGGGTCTTCACATCGACCCGGCACGCTGGAAAGCGGCACAACAGCTCCTGCTCCCGACCACGAAGGCTGTGCTCCACCGCCGTTCTGAGGGGTCTACACGGTGTGACAGCGTGCCTGAGCATCACGAGACTGGTAACGGTGACTACCCCAAGCACGATGCATGCGGGCGTGCCGGCACCTCCCCAAATTCAAGCTGCTTTTGACCCGTGCCATGTCCTGCAAGCAGAGGGCCGCAGCAGCCAGCCGGCAGCTTGGCGGGGGAACCCCCTCACCCCACAGCACCCCAAGAGGTCTCTCCGCCTTTCTCTTCTTGTTCGTTCCTCCTTCGTGGGCTTCTCCAGTTTTCCTGAGTTTAAGGGTAGGTGGGACTGAAACTCACGCAGCACTTTATTCACATCAGGTGTGTCCCCTGATCCCCTCCAAAACACACACACACACGTATCAGTGCTTTGAACGGTGTCCACAGCTTCTCCTTGGTCAAACCCTCCCACAAAATGTGTGACAACCCCCCCCCCAGGTCGTATAGAGTGCTCTGAAAGGGGTCTCCTGCCCTCTGCTCCAGCGCCCAAAGCCAGACCTCATCCACGGCGTCTCTCTTCGAAGGGTGAAGGGGAAGACAGGTCCCTGGGGGGGGGGGGGCCACATTTCCCTGCCCCGAGGGCTATCCTGGAGCAAGCATGGCTCTTGAAGCACAATGTTTTATTTGCATTTTTCTTAGTTTCAAGTAATTCACGAGGGATTAAAGGGATAACCGTGCTTTCCCCTACCTTTTTCCGGTTCCTGTACAATTTACCCGTTGTGTTGTACTGAGCCGTTGTAGAGCTGTTTGCGAGGCTTTGAGAGGTGAGCTGCTGTTTTTGCCACGAACTGACTGTGATGCTGATGTTTGGGAGAAAGGTGACCTTGTACATACAACCCTGTATAATAAAAGAAAGAAATCTAATTTGCTTTTGCTTTCTTCTCTCTTTGTCTTACACACACACACTTTTTTCCTCTATTTCAGACAAGTCGTCTTCCCCATTCTGAGCTTCAGCTCTGCCCCCAGGGTTTGCTTTCCCCTACACAAGGTATGTCCCACTGGGCTGAGCGAAACCTCTGGGTTCACAGGCGCTCTGGGACTTTTCCTCTGGAGGCCTGGAAACTCTTGATGCAGGGGAGAAATTCCGGCATTTAATCTCTGGACTTTGCACTGCTCCAGCTTGTAACAGACTGGGAAAATGAGGCTGCCGTTCCGGTTTGCACAAGCCAACGGTGCTAATAAATGCTCCGTAAGCACACCACCGTTGGCCGTCTCCCCGGTCCCTTCCTCAGCAGAGCAAAGCTCGGGGCGCGTTGCCAGCTGTCCATGTTCAATGCAGTAATCAGAGAATCATAGAATTGCTGAGGTCGGAAGGGACCTTTAAGATCTCAAGTCCAACCATTAACCCAACCTGACAAAACCACTCCTAAACCACATCCCCAAGTAGCGCGTCTGCCCTTTTTTTAACCACCTCCAGGGATGGCGAATCCACCCCGTCCCTGGGCAGCCTCTTCCAATGTTTGATAACCCTCTCTGTGAAAAAATGTTTCCTAATATCCAGTTTAAACCTCCCCTGACATAACTTGAACCCATTTCCTCTCATCCTGACGCTAGTCATTAGGGGGAAGAGGTCAGCCCCCACCTCTCTGCCCCCTCCTTTCAGGTAGTTGAAGGGAGCGTTAAAGTCTCCCCTCAGTCTCCTCTTCTCCAGCCTGAACACCCCCAGTTCCCTCAGTCCTTCCTCATGAGACTTGTCCTCCAGACCCCTCACCAGCTCTGTTGCCCTGCTTTAATCACCCAAACCCAGGCACGTTTGGCACCTGAGCGGTGTCCAGAGGGCACCAGTGACCCCATGGGCAGAAGCCAGCTGCTACCACACTTCCGATGCTTTTTTAAGGTTCCAGTCCTAGAACGTTTGGTGAGCCTGACCCAAGCCATCATCCGGCCCTGGAGGGCAAAGCTACCTGTTGCGTCTCTTCCAAGTTCATGGTGAGCGTGGGGGTGCTTGAACATCCACCCATCCTGCTGTCACCAGTTCACTCTAAGATGAGGAAAGCAGCACGGGCAACCTAATGGCCGGGCATCTCTGCGCCCGGGAAGAAGGAGGAAAGATGGGGAAAAAAGAAAAAACAGCAAGTCAAAACATTTGGCTGTCAAGAAGCTCAACGTCAGCCCAACCTTAGGTCCATTGAGCCATGTACCACCCGGGCTCTGTGAGCGCGACCGTGCCCTGGAGGAGGGCAGAGCGCGTCCCTGGCTGGGGACGGGTAATTGCGGCGCGGTGCAGCTCATCAGCTTTAGACCGTTAGGTCACGGCCGAGGTCTCCTGGCAAACAGCTGTTTTGATTTTGTTCATTATTTTGGGGGGAAGAGTGAGGCACTTGGGGAGCTCTTATGCAGGCCCCTGTATGGTAATTAACTTTGCTTTTGGCTGTAGGTAGGACCTCAGTGAAATGAGTTCTGGGCTTTCCACGCTTAGCGAGTTCTGTGTGTGACCGTCCAGAAAATCCTCTCGTGAAGAGGCGAGGCACAGCAGAGGTGGGACAGGGCACACACCCCACTCCTTCCCTTCCACCCCTCAAGGCCATAAAGCGGCTGTGAAGCTCCCCGCTGCCCGCCCCGGGTCTGCGGAGAGGGGACCAGAGGGAGAGGGGGTGTCACCGCGTCCCTCCGAGCACTGCTTTCCCAGGGACGGGGCGGGCAGAGGCAGACGCCCAGTGCGGGGGCAAAGGCAGAGCTGTGGGGGAAGAGGCAGTGAGAGCCCGTGGGCTGTAGATGTGTAAGGACTGCGGAGCATTGAAGGCGCCCACAGAGTGCAGATGAAGCCACCAGTGCTGTTTCAGTGTGCCCCTGACGACAGCCAGCTCCCGTCTCCCGACTCCCCCATCCCGTCTTTCCAAGCATGAACACACGCGTGAGACGGTGCGGGGTGCTGCGTGCTCAGAGCACAACACAGGGCATCCACCGCAGCCTGTCCATCCCCCTCCTCATCCCCAGCCCAAACCCTGCTCTGCTGTCACAGGGGAACAGGCAGCCACGGAGAGCAGAAGCCCCATGACCGGGCTTGGCCCGCTTAGCAGAAAGGCGTGTGGTCCTCCCCAAGGCATATCCATGACACAAAAAGGTCCGTCGGATCTCATTAGCTCCTGAATGAACAAAAAGGGGGTCCCACCTTTCATGCACCCAACCTCCTTCTCCATCATCCAGTGGATCCCCACAGAGTCACTCCCTGTAAACTGTCCCTGCCCTGCTGGGAGGTGGGAGGATGAGGGTTGGGCCACTCCATTCTCCCCAGCATCAGTTAATCCAACAGCTGCACATTTTTCATCAAGAAGAGTGTGGCCAGCAGGTGGAGGGAGGTCATCCTCCCCCTCTGCTCTGCCCTGGGGAGGCCACATCTGGAGCACTGTGTCCAGTTCGGGGCTCCCCGGGTCAAGAAGGACAGGGAACTGCTGGAGAGGGTCCAGCAAAGGGCTACAGATTTGATGAGGGGACTGAGCATCTTTCTGATGAGGAAAGGCTGAGGGACTTGGGGCTTTGCAGTCTGGAGAAGAGAAGACTGAGGGGGAATCTTATCAATGCTTATCAATACTCAAAGGGAGGGTGCCAGGGGGATGGAAACAGTCTTTTTTCAGCTGTGCCCAGTGACAGGACAAGAGGGAACGGAAAATGGCAGAGGCTGCCCAGAGAGGTGGGGGAGTCTCCCCCTCTGGAGCCATTCCAAACCCGCCTGGACGCCGTCCTGTGCCACTGCTGGAGATGCTCCTGCTCTGGCGGGGGGTGGCACTGGGGGACCTCCAGAGGGCCCTTCCAACCCCCACCAGTCTGTGTGATTCTGTCATTCTATGAAGAAAAACGACCAAGATAAACTGAGCAACTTGACTGAACATACACGCTGTTTCCATCTTGTGAACTGAAAAAAAATAAATGCTTTTTTTTAAAGCCTTTCCCCACCACCCACAAAGGCAAGATCTCATTACCAAGTGCCCTGGACCTCACTTGGCTTCTCACATTGGCTGCTCCACTTGTCACCATCACATCTGCCTTTGGTGGCAACAGCAGTGTGATCTTTGTTGGCAACAAAACCAAAGGTCCCAATCCCCACCGCCTTGCCTGCACCTCTGCAGAGGATACATGAAATGTATGAGGTTGCCGACACACTTTGGGCTTAAATGTGCTGCTCTGGATGGGAAGAGCAGACATGCGGGAAGTTATGGCACTCTGCTTTTTTCATACACTGGCCTTGGCAGTCATTAGAGCAATAGAGCCGGGTTAC